ACGCACGCGCACTCACTCACATACTCACTCACACACACACACACACACACACACACACACACACACGCGCGCGCGCGCACAGAGAGAGAGAGAGAGAGAGAGAGAGAGAGAGAGAGAGAGAGAGCAAGACAGTTGGATCCCATGGGATAAAAGACTTAGTTATGTTAGAGGAAAGAGAGGGGATTATGGGTATGTCTATATTTGTAATGATTAGCCTTCAGAGAAGTCAGTTATTGAGGATCAGTATAGACTGGCTCTCTATTATCATGGACATAGGTACCCACCAGATAGCTGTGAGGTATCACAGCCTCTGTTTCCATTTGCCTCTAAGAAGGAAACATATATTAATCTGTGGATTACTAAGAACTGGGGATTATCATGGGGAAAATGAGAAGGACAAAAATACTGGAAGTTCCTTAAGGGAAGAAACCATTTTCTCACTACCATTTCTATCACTGCTAAACACACAGTGGGATTCTCAGATGGAAGAAACCAGCATTTCCTTTACTAAGAGGGTGGTATTTTTCACAACACAGCAATCACGTGGCTTCTTCAACCCTGAAAGATTTCAATTCTGAAATGCCTTATAAGGCTTGTGGTTTGGGGCTTTATAATTATGACATGAGTCATTAATCTTGTAGCCTCCCTTTTTTATTATCTCTGCAATTGAGACAGAGTTTTTGTTACAGATTGCTAGCCTGTAGCAGCCAGTTGGAGAGATGCGACATCCCTGAGACAGATAACAAAGAAAAATGGGGAGCAAATTGGAACAGATTAGGTAGTTCTGCAGCACTGTATTAAACAAGCTCTTCTGAGTGCAGCCATCAGACTTCTCATAGCATTTTCCTCCCATTTTTCCATCAGCCACCAAGACTTAGCTGTTAAGGGACTCTGTGTGTAGTGTGTATGTGTGTGCCATGTGTGAGCATCTGTCTGTCTGTCTGCCTCTTTTTCTCTCTTTTCCAAGTCCTCACATTTAAGTATGAACAACCCATAGTTAGTGAAGAAGACACACCATCTCTAAAAGGCTACTGCAAGCCTGAGGAAAGAATATGTGATTTTAAAATTGACTGAGGTTAAAAGAAAGTGAAGCACGAGCTGTTATAATAAGTAATATGCCTAAAATGGCTCAGTGTGGGATGTTTTTATTAATTCACTTTTTGAAGTTTATATACAAAAAGTTCATATGTTATGAAAATTTCATACATATGAAATTCAAGGATAATGGATTAATAATACATTTAAAATCTGATTCAATCAACAAGCTATTTCAGTGGGGTTTCTTAGTGCTGAATACTAGAACGACCTGGACATGTAGTTACTGTTAATAGAAAAAAAATAAAACAGACAAATGGCTTTTCAAGCCACTGACTATAAACTTATGGTATTCTATTACAGACTATTAAAAACAAATATAAACCAAACTGACTGTTATTAAGCTCAAGGTTTTTATTTTCTAAAAGGAAATAATGTTTTTGTAATTATTTGAAAGATAATATCAGAATGAGCATCAGCTGATATATGAAGAAATAAGTCACAGCTTAGACGCATACTAATTTCACTCTGTAAAGAGAAAACATGGCTCTAGGTATTTATTTCTCATGAAAACCTTCAAAGAAACGTACTACTGCTGATTGGAATGATGATGCCGAGAAGATTAATAAATTCTATCATATATGAAGTGATATGTTTGGGATTCAATCCAGTAATAGATGCTTCAAGGTCCAAATACTCATTCAAGATAACCAATTCTCTAATTAGTGTTACCGACAAGAATCGAACCACCATTTACATTAATGAGGGATGCATACGCTGAAGTTATTGAAATATACATATACATAGGAAAAACAGTTTTATTTCATATAATACCTGGTTTATGATGGGATTAGTACAAATACTGACATTTAATGGCCTTTAGGAGGCAAAGAAGCCAATCATCAGGTAAGGCTGTTAAGTGAGATAATGAGCAAAGACAGTTATTCAAAGTCGCTTAAGAGATAGCTTATCTGGGCTCAGAAAAAGATGGCTGGGGACTTTTGTGATGTATGCGATGAAAGAGATGAGAAGGACAGGAACAAATGTGCCACATATGAATGTCAAGAACGTTAGAAATGTGTCCTTGTCCCCACCACTACCTATCCTAATAACTACATGTGTATTTGGTTATAAAATGTTGTGGTAGTTAAGTGACTTTCTGTTTCACAAAAATATATAAACTGAATATCAATAAATATTAATTTTTCCCACTGGACAAAAGTAGGCAGATACCTTTGTCAACAACCATCCCGATCTTTAGGCATTGTTTATTCTACTGTCAATAAATGACAGTATTTCCAATTTGATATGTGAGATTTAATGAACTTGAGAAATGTAGGAGTGATGGGTATCAGAGCTGCCTCACTTTAAAATCATTTATGCTTATTGCTGTAGTTTTCCTTGTCAAGTCAATTTTGTTACTCTTGAAGACATACACTGTTACATAATTTAGATTCCTAGTTTAATGCTGTATTCTACTTCTTATTACTGAAGATATAATGCTCCAATTAATCTGAATTAATTCTATAGAAAAAAAATTACTTAAAAAAAGAATCTTACATTAAAATCTTCGTTTAATAAAGCATGAAGAAGTGGGAAAAATAAGAGCAGCAGATTGGAGGACCTACTTTTAAGATGGCTTTTCCTTTGTGCATTTTTTATCCATGCTTGTTATTTCTTTTATATATTTCTTTTACTTGTATTTTAAATAGAACTTTAAGAGAAATGTCACTGCATAATTTCCTCTCCACTTTTTTCTTCCCTACTTAAAAAGAGCACCTACAATTGGCAAAAGAATCACCCCTAAATAGAACATAATTTGTTCTTCCCAGGCAGGAGAATTAAATAAGAGCTGCATAGAGCAACTAACAGCAATCTGGGTTCAACAGCTCTGTTAGCAGGTCAGCAGTTTGATCTACTTTATTCTGCTACACCCTGGTCCCTATAGAGATAGGACAGCCCCTGTCTCTGCTCTCTGAGGCAGCCAGAAATCTCCATACCACCTCTGAGGAAAATACTGGGAGCAAAGTGGTTTAGAGAGCCAAAAAAGGAGAGAGAATACACACATTAGCTTTCAAAGTGTCACTAAAAGGCAACTATTTGAATGTCTTTGCTTCAAAAGGTTTCACGTTACTTGTAAGCAGTTTTCTTTGCTTCAAGCTTTATTAAAATATCAAGTTATTAGAGGAAATGGAGAAGGGACATAAAAATCTAGAATACTACTCCATTGTGCAATTGAGTTCCTTGAGGTCACTTTCACTGGAAAAGAAGGACATGCATACAGTAATGAAATCTGTGACTGGCAGTTGCAGAGCAGGGCAGCCACAGTTATTCCCACACTCAAAACAAATCAGAAAGGATGCAATAGGGCAATACTGCCCAGAGTCAGTGTAGCTGTCATCCAATTCACACAGGAGCTTGAAAACACCAAATAGGTGTGAAAATATATGTTATCTACAATCCAAGTTACACTTAAAAGAAAATCATCTTGTGGTACTTGATAAATCTTTTTATTTATTAATAACTCATTTGAATCAAAATGTATTCCTTATCCACTCATGATGAGTCTTTTGCTTTATATAAATTCAACTACTATTTTTGACTTTGTAATTTAATTGCAGATTTTATCTCCTTTCCTTTTCCTCCCTTCAAAACCTCACATACCCAACTCCCTGATCGCCTTCAAATTCATGGATTACCTTTTCATTCATTGTTATTACATGCATATATGTAAAAATACATACATATGTATTTTTAATATAAACTGTTGATTACATATAGTTACTTATATGTCTGCTTTCAGGTCTGACTTTGGCCATGACAACCAATTGATGGGTCTTCCCTGGGGAAGACCACCTGCTCCTACTTTTAATCACCTACCTGTAGGGGGACAAGAACCCCTGAACAAAGTGGGAGTACCAGGGGGGCATGGAGAGGAAGGAGGTGGGAAGGGAAGAAGGAGAGGGGGGAGGAGAACACGAGGATAAGACAGGGGAGGAATAGAGGAGGGCAAGAAAGGAGACGCCTTGATAGAGGGAGACATTACAGGTATGGCGAGAGGTCTGGCATAGGGGAAATTTTAGGGGATCCACAGGGATGACCCCAACTAAGAATCCAAGCAGTGGTGGAGAAGATGCCACTGATGCCCTTCACCTATAATGAGATTGAGGTCTACCTTGGCTACCATCCCTATAGCCTTCATCCAGTAGCTGTTTGAACCAGAAATAGGCACCCAGAGCTAAGCACTGAACCATACTACTGAAATCCAGTTGTGGAGAGGGAGGAGTGATGAGCAAAGGAGCCAAGATGGGACTACAGAAACTTGCAGAAACTGTTGACCTGACCTAGTGAGAGTATGGAGACCCTAGTCATAAAGCTGGGGAAACAGCATTGGACCAAAAGCAAGCCCTCTGTATGTGGGTACCAGCTAGGAGGCCAAGACAGTCTATGGGACCTCTAACAGTGGAGCCAGTCTTTAGCCTTAGAGCACTTTGGGAGCCCATTCCCTATGGAGGGATTCTACTGCAGCCCAGACAGCAAGAAGGGCCTAGGCCCTCCCCCAAATGATGTGACAGACTTTGAAGGTCCCTGGTGGAGGGCCTCACTATCCCTGTGGATGAGTTGCAGGTGGGTTAGAGGGGTTGGTGGGGAACTTGGGAGGATAGGCAGGTAAGGAAATGGGGGGATGGATATGTAAATTAGTATTAATTAAAGAAATTAAATTAAAAACTATTTTAGACATAGAGCAAAGGATTACCAGCCTACAATCCACACCTCCTGAGAAACTAGGAAACAAGGAGGACCCTAAGAAAGACATACATGCTTCCTCAGGGAAGCAGAAAGGGACAATAGGTCCTGAGCAAATTGTAAGCATGATGGTGGGAGCTAGGAGAAAAAGAAAGGGAGAAGATTGTAGCCAGCCCCTAAGTAGGCGTAGGGTGACTGTGTTTTCACTTTCGGTTTCTCTTTTGGGCTTGCATACAGACTGCTGCCACGCCGGCTGGCTAGGTCGCTCTGTAAGTAAGGCTTTTCCCTATTAAATACCCTTATATTTCTACCAACTCCGTATTGGTGATTTCCCACTATAGAAGATGAGTGGGGAGGAGAACATGATGGATCAGGAAGATTGAGTCTGGGGAACAGTAGACAAGAGAAAGAAAAGAGATACCTTAATAGAGGGAGCCATTATAAGTTTAAAGAGAAATCTGGCACTAGGGAAATATTCAGAAATCCGCAGGGATGACCCTAAGACTCTAAGCAATAGTAGAGAGGCTACATTAAATGCCCATCCCCTATAATGAGATTGATGATTACCTTAAATGCCATCATAGAGCCTTCATGCAGTAGTTGATGGAAGAAGAAGCACACATCCACAGCTAAGCACTGAGCAGAACTCTCAGAATCCAGTTGTAGAAAAAGAGGAGGGATGAGTAAAGGGGTCAAGGCTATGCTGGGGAAACCAACAGAAACAGCTTACCTGAACAAGTGGGAGCTCATAGATCCCAGTCGTAAAGCCAGGGAACCAGCATTGGGCTGAACCAAGCCTCCTGAATGTGGGTGTCAGTTAGGAGGCCTGGGCAGTCTATTGGGCCCCTGGCCATGGGACCAATATTTATCCCTAGTGCACAAATGGACTTTGGGAGTTCATTCCCATGGAGGGATACTCTCTCAGACTAGATATACAGAGAAGGGCCTAGGCCCTCCCACAAATTATGTGAGAGACTTTGATGATCACTCATGGAAGGCCTCACTCTTCCTGGGGAGTAGATGGGGGGTGGGATGGGGTGGTTGGTGGAGGGCATGGGAGGATGGAAGGGAGAGGGAACTGGGATTGATATGTAAAGTAAGATTGTTTCTGATTTAAATAAAATTTATATTAAAAAAAAGAAAAGACAGGATTCTAAGAGATAAGTCAGAGCCCTAACTGGCCATCAGACAAATCTTCCAGTACAGCAATTTGTTTACATCCAATTGTTTTGTTGGACAAAGGGATTCATGGGAACCTCCAAACTATACAGGCTGCTGCAAAGACAGAGATTGCTTTCCACAAACTCATAACACTTGCATAACTAATTGTACACGAAATGTTGAACATAGAGCCTTCACACATACGTGCTAGCATCTTGGGTACAGGCAGATACTCTGAGTGCTACCAAAAGAGAAATAGAAACATCAACGAAGCTTCAAAACCTTATTTATAATGATTAGTGCTTAGTGCCTCTAAGATATGCTAGGGCAATGGTGGCCCATAGCTATAACCAACCTTAAATATCTGATTTGACTTAAGGCTCATTCAACAAAATCTTACTCATATCTGATACAGCTTGGATGACCAAGAACCATACACTTAATATCCCAGGAACCTAGGATAAACTAAATACTACTGCTCTAAAAAAATACTGATAAAAATGATTCCTAATGATATTCTTCTATATCCATCCATATATGCCTTGTTCAGCTATCATTGGAGAGCTTCATTCTTCAACAGATGGGAACAAATAGAGAGATTCACAGCCGGACATTATGTAGAGAGAGACCTTGGAACAGTCAGTACTAAAGGGATGTGTCTACCAAATCCCTCCCCTCAGACTCTGGGACAAGGAGGCCATAAAAGTAAGAGCCAGAGAATATGGAGGTCACAGAGAAAACAAGGTTCTCTAACTCAACATGATCAAAGTTCACATGAAATCACAGAGGCTGAGACAGCATGCAAAGGACCTGCAAGGGGCTGCCACAGATTCTTTGTGGGTATATAATGGCTTCCAGCGTATTGGCATTTGTTTGTTTGTTTGTTTGATCGGGGTGGGGAATCCCTGAGAGTGAGAATCAGTGTGTCTCTGATTCTTGGGCCTTATCTTGTGCTTATTCCCTTCTGTTGGTTTGTCTTGTCCAACTTTGATGTGATAGATTTTTTTTAATCTTATTATATTTTTTGTTCTATTTAATAGTATCTGAGGACCTCACTGTCTAATTAACAGCAGAGCTGACACATGGAATTGTAACACACATACGTAAATTGTATGCTAGTTCAGTCAACTAATATTTTGTTAGGACTGTTGTATGTATCTGAATTTAAAAAAGGAACAATCCTTAGGAACTGAGAAAGTGTTTTGCTATTTGAAATTTGTGAAAAATCTATTTTACAGTATTTTTCAAATTCCTACCTCTTGGATTCATGTAAATTAACTTCCACTTTCCAATGTGTTTTGCATTCCCCCCTAATTTAAGTTCTGATTTAAAATATTTCAAAAATTCATGTAATTTGATTGCATGTATGAATTTACATAAATTGAAGTTGTCTATACTTGCCTTGATTGCATTTTAACTGTATGCCAAAGTCCAACATTAAAAGACTACATCTATTTCATGTAAATAGTGTAATATCAAAGGTGTAACAAAAGTGATATTGTAATAAATCTAGTTAAATTCTATTTTCAGACTTGATTCTCTTCTTGCTCAAGGTAGTTATTAAGAACATAGTGTACAAGGTTCTGGTACAGTATTTGTTAAGGCATATGGGATTTAATAAAAGAAAAATAATAAATATCAGGAATTAAAGTTGTCTGAACATCTTGTTTACAGAAAAATGAGTTTATTTAATTCTTCTTGCAAAGGAGGTACTATGTACAAATTGTCAATCTCCCATTATAATTCTGTTGTAAACTGATATTTAATTCTGGAAACAATTTACTTATGTGATATATCTGGTAGATATGCATTATTATAAGTAGTTTAAATATGTCCAATAGGCCTTACCATTTCAGTTACATATTGAATGCATTTCAACAAAGAATATATTTCTTTAAATATTTTTCATTCATTTATTTAGCTCATAAGTAAAGTCATGCACAATTATGATACACAATACAGTATGTTCACAATGGCATGGCTAAATTAAACCAATTAACATGTTATATCACACATATTCATCATTTTTGTTTTGAGAACACTTAAAGTATACTATCTCACAACTTTTAAAATATAGCATATTGTTATCAACCACATTTATCATGCTCTCAATAGACCTCAAGACTTCAGAAAATCCATTCCTCTTGTCCAACTGCAGTTTTATATCCTTAAACCAATCGTTTCCATTGTTAAAAACCCACATTGAAGCCTAATAGCCACAATTCTGCTCTCTGTTCCCATAAGTTCATCATTTCTAGGTTACACATAAAATTGAAATTGTGTGACATTTGTCTTCCAGTGTGTCACTTATTTTTTTTTTGACAAGCATATAACTTTACTACTTACTAAAGATGAAATCAAATTTGCATGCACAAGTGAGCACTAACTGAAACTTATGAGTGATACATAAAATATATGTATATATTTTGCAAGGATATATTTCACAACATATTTTTAAGAAAAATTTTTTGGAAATGTTCACTATTGTTTTGGTTATCCTTGGATTTTTGAACCTCCGATAAAAATTTTGGATTTTTTTTTCTATTTCTTGAATAAAGGCCTAATAATTAATTGGCATTACATAGGATCCATAGATTGCTTTTGGTAAGATCTTTCTTTCTTTCTTTCTTTTTTTTTTTTTTTTGTTTTGTTTTTCGAGACACGATTTCTCTGTGTAGCTTTGGCGCCTAACCTGGCACTCACTCTGTAGACCAGGCTGGCCTTGAACTCTCAGAGATCCGCCTGCCTCTGCCTCCCGAGTGCTGGGATTAAAGACGTGTGCCACCAACGCCCGGCTAAAATGGCCATTTTCACTAGGTTAATTCTACCAATTCATGATCATAAGAGGTTTGTTTTTAATTTTTTGTAATCTTTTGGAATCTACCTAAATTGTTTTCTTGAGTGGCTTAAAGTTTTCATGGCAAGGGACAGTTTTCTTCTCAGGTGTGCTCTGTTGTTTTGTTGGATTTTTGTGAGTGGATTGTTTCCCTGGTTTATTTTCAGTATGGCTATCATTCATACATAGGGAAGTTAGTGGTTTTCTGTTTTAATTCTGTATTGTTATATTTGCTGAAAGAATTTATCAGCTCTAAGAACCTTCTGTTGAGTCTTTAGGTCTCATTGACAAACAGGGAACTCCTTTATCACAAATATGCCCTTTTATTTACTTCTCATGTCTCACCAATCTAAGAGTTTAAGCACTATTTTGAATTATTGAATAGGAATGGAGAATGGACATCCTTGTCCTCTTCCTGATGTTAGAGGAAATGCTTCGAGTTTTTCCAAATTTAACATGATATTGACTAGAATTTTGACATATAGATCCTTTATTTTGTTGGGATGCATTCCCACAATTGCTAGCCCCTTTCTGCTTTTATTAGAAAAGGGTATTGGATTTCATCAAAGACTCTCTGCATTTAATTACATGCTCACATGATTTTTGCCTTAGAGACTATTTATGAGATGGACAAATTTGTTGATTTACACATTTACACATGTTGAGCCATCCCTGCATCTCAGGAAGAGTTTTTTTTTTGTTTTTTTTTGAATATGATCCTGATGCCTGTCTTAAAGTATGATTAATATTTCTTATAAGAAAAAAAAACTTATGCTGGAAAATAGGCATAAATTTAGTGAAAGTACTAAGTCATTTGGTTTAGTTTACTGTTAGTCACAATAGTAGAGTTTCTGGACACAGCTGTGGTCATACTTCACTGGAAAACATCCACCGAGCACATTGTTAGGACTGGTAACAAGAAAAACAATTAAGTACATGGGCCAAATGAGGATACATCAGATTCCTAAAATTATGTGATAAAAAGTTTAGAAGGTTTTGAACATGAATAGATATATTTTCCATTAATTACCTATTAAAATTATTATCTTCATCAACTACAAATATATGAACTGGACTACATAGTGGTGACAACTACATTGTGGAAAACAGAAACTACAGATTATAACCATGTTACCTTTCTAGGTCTTAGTAGCTTTTGAGTTTGGGAGCAGAGAAGGGTTGGGAAATTGTGGTCAGAATGTATTGTATGAGAGAAGAATCTATTTTCATTAAAAATTTAAAATACATTGATACATTTATTTATTCCTAATTATGATAAAAAGATATCACAAAATTTGTGATTTTAACTTTTAAATTTTGTATGTCAGTGTTATTGAGTTTATTCCCACTTCTGGGTACTGACTCTTCAGAACTCTTTCATCCAGTAAAGCTACAGTTATAAGTCAACTAACAGCAGCTCCCATTACCTGTCAGCTACAATTTATATTTGGTTCCTTCGATTGTGATTATTGCAAGTGGACTGTATCAGTGGACTCAACACTGGAGGGATCACATAGTGCTTATCTTTTTTCGTTGTTTTTTTATTCCAATAGCAAAATGAAGCCCTAGAAGACTAGTATTTAAACAATAGTTAACTCATTATTGTCAGATATAATATCATATAGGAGATAGCATGATTTACCATCCAGAGCTTCATATGTAATAACATTTTGACAACAATAGATGGCTAATCTGTAAAGGATCATTGATTATTCACCCAGTCTGCATTTTTAATTTTTGCATTCAAAACAAAAAGCACAGTCACAGTTGCCTAATTATAGTCACAACAGTCCAAATTAGCCCTCAAGAAGAAGAGCACAAAGCGATACCATCTGTGAAAGTGGACAAATCCCATGGACCTTTCCTGCTTCAAGCCCTGTGAGGGGGTTGGGCAGATTTCCCTCTGGCTTCTGCCTCACACTTTATTCTTGCATGATCTCATTTATGCCTTAAAGGCTAGTCTTTCTGAGAAGCTGAGAGTCAGCAGGCCTTTCCCATGTCCAACCAATACAACCCCTGCCCCATAATATATTCTTTGATTATGGTCTCCTAAAAACAGTAGCCATTTCTAAATCACATCTTTCCCATGGTTAGCACAAGCAGATTCAAATGAATGGGAATGAAATTTTTCCTGGTAAGTAACTTGAAAACCACAAAGGCAGAATTTCATACAAATTTCTGTTTAAAGATGACAAGAAAATTATGTCACTTTCACAAAAAAGGGATTCTAGCCTTTTATTAAAAACACAGCTGTCAGTTTTGATCAAATACATTCATATTCCCTCATTATGTTATTATGACCATCATGAAATGTAATAATTGTCCCTTGGAGTTTGATTTCCCATAAAAGCGTCATAACACAATCAGCACTATTGCAAATAATTATGAAACTATGCGGAGAGAGTTATGATTTCAGGTGGGAAATATATAATAATAGATTGAGAAATTTAAAACCCAAGTTAATACCTGATAATGATTCAGTTCTCATACAAATGTCAATAATAATAAAAAACGTGTGACAACAGAGCCTGCAGTATAAAAAGGAAAGAGATTCCATACATAATCATTGGCAGAGGTTTTAATGATAGTTCAGATACTATTTGCTTATCATTCCATCATATTAAATACTATTAACATAGAAAGTGCTCTCTGGTAGAAGTAGTACTATACCTTTACGAAATAGAGAATTCAGTAGTTTATTTCTGATTAAAAACTAAGAAGGTAAAATTGTTTCTTGTATATGAACTCTATAATGACTCATCTTGCATTTTTGTGAATTGTTTTTTGTTTGTTTGTTTGTTTTGTTTTTTGAGATAGGCTTTCTCTGAGTAGTTCTGGCTGTCCTGGAATTTGTTTTATAGACTAGGCATCCCTTGAACTCTGAGATCTGCCTATTTCTGCCTCTGCCTCTGCCTCTGCTTCCCAAGTGTGGGGATTAAAGGTGTGTACCACCACAGCCCAATATTGCCAACAGGGCATTGAGAATTCTGAAAGAGAGTAATTAGAAAAAATGATAGTGGACAGCATTTTTCCATATGACATATATGTGTAGGAAGAAATAACTGAGCTTTTTAACGGATCTGGATGCCAAAATATCATCAGGGGCACGCTGAACAAGAAGGTGACTAACACAAGGTAAAAGCATATTAAGGCATTGGAGAGGGTGATGTGGGCTGTTGAGATGGCTCAGCTGATAGAGGCTAGACCTCAAATTTGAGGACCTGATTTCAATCCCTAGGCCCTATATGCTGGAAGAAGTGAAATGATTTACACAAGTTATTCTGACCTCCATGCATGCATCATGGCAGACAGACATACAGAAACACACACACACACACACACACACACACACACACACACACACACACACACACCAAAAAAACCTAATGACAAGATAAGCTAATGCTACTCACATCCAGAGCTTCCATTTGTTGACACCAGAGTCATGTTGGAAGGCCATGGGTTCCGAACAATATCTTGCCAGTGTATGGTGTCAGCATAACACAGGAACTTGTTCTGGTCTACATAAACTCCACCATTTAGAATTTCTGTATTGGAAACAAAACCAACCATCAATTTGTTTTTTAAAAATGTTAGCTACCAGAAAGGCATTTTTCAAATTATTTTCAATGTTAGAGTCATATTATGAGCCAGAACACTTCTAAAAACATTTTCATTGATTTCAATGCTTCAAAAGGTTAAACGTACAGACCTAATATATAAATAATCTTAATATACATAGACAAATCTTCAATATTTTGATAGAGGTATTTTTAGCAACTGTGACTTTACCCTGAATTTATAATAATATCACTTGTAATATTTCATAATGTGATTTAATATTACATATTAGGTATTGAATGATAATTATTACTTTATTTAAGGATATTATAATATAATAGAGTATGATATAATTAATATCATCTCATAGTACTCCTGTTACTTTATTTTTTCTATGATTAGTCATTAAAACAATCCCAAAATATCATTCCACAACCATGGACTGTGAAGTCTCAAGACTTTTGATAAACTCTTTCAAATGTGCCTTCCTTAGGACTTATTCAACCTGATGTCCACTAGAGCCTATAATTAGTAATAAGCATAAAGTAAAAGACAAAGATTAAATGTTCTTTTACAAAAGATTTTCTCCCATCTGAAATGTTATCAATAGATTGGTCAATCAAGAGTAACACAAAGCAAGATGTTATACCATTTTTGTTTGGCACTGGAACCTGGAAATGAGATAAAAATCCATGAAGGCTACATTTAACTTGATTGTCTTTTACACAATTAATACTGATTATCTGAAGTAGTCCCCAGGCACAGTACATGTCCTATAAAGATCCTCCTTCACATACTTCTAGGTTATTTAGAAAGATTAAAATAGTTCCTCCATAATATTATTTTAAAGAAATTAGATACACAAATAGTGCCTTCCTTCCTAATATCTCCTAGAGTTTCCCTCTGGAGTCCAGTAGATAAATAATCTTAGAATAATCATATGATGGTTTTCAACTACAACTACGAACTAAGAAAAACCAGCAACAGTCTTTTTAAAAAACCAGTATGTGGATGTGATATTGGATCAGCTACTATTCAGAACCAGTTTCCTTCCATGACTTTCTATGTGTTTATATTATCCACTACAGAGACAGGATGGCTATGTTATCCAAGGCATACGTTCCGATGTGAAGTCAGAATAAGACAGGGAAGTAGCAAATAGAAGGATCTCCCTGGCGAATGGATAAAGAAAAAAATGCTGTTTATACAAAATGGCACTCTTTTCACCTATGAATAAGAATAAAATCATGTCATTTGCCAGAAATGCAACTAGAAATAATGATGCTAACTGAAATATCTGATGCAGGAAGATAAATACCAGATGTTCTTCCTTATGTGTAGAGCTTAGATATTATAGAGGAAGACAAGGAATTACATGCAGGTAAATTGGGATTGTAGGTAAAGAAGAGATATGGGAGACAAAATGGATTTATAGGAGGTGTGCAAAGACTAAGTAGAATAAGAGTAAAGATAATAAACGTATGTGATGTAGTTGTATAAGATAGCTATGAAATCCATCGTTGTGTATAATGAATATAAGCCATTAAAATCCACTAAAAATAAAATTTAAGTGATAACTGTATTTTATTGTTAAAAAAATCTCTCATTGGTACTTTTTCATATGAAAGACAGAGGAAATGGCAGCTTAAGGACATTTTGCTAACCAATAAATCCCAAACCATCAGAGTGTAATAGCGTGAAAGAAGAGTCGTGTTCCTTTGTAGCCTTGAGAATCATCTCCCTGTACAGTTCTTCGAGGTGTTTTTAATATTGTTATTTTCTCCTTTTTGTATAACTGGCCCAAGCTAAATATTTAGGAGTTTTCTTAAACTAGTGTGAAATGAATGAATGAAGGAATACATAAGAGCAGAGTAGCATTTGCTGAGGCATAATCGTGGCACATTTAGAGAACCTGATGGTTCTGCATGTATAAAATCCTCCAGATTAATTTACATTTTTCAAAGAGTTCCACTTTCAAACTCAGTTCCATTGCCATCATCAATCTTTTCACTGCCTGTTGGTTCCACTTCTTGAAGGGGAGGGGAAAAAAAGAAAAACAAAAACAAAGGGAAATTAGATCATTTTTCTTCTTCTAATACCTAGTTCATTATTTTTCATCACCCAACCATCCAACCTTCCTCAGAGCATAAGGGAGATGTAAGGCTGATTGTGAAAAGGATTTCTCTAGTAACATTGAACATCAGATTTCTATGGGAAAATGAGCACAGTTCGTCTACTAATAGCCTTCTCATGAGATACTGTGTGATATTCTTCAGCTCTAGGAATAATTCTTCATTAGGTGAAAGAAAAGAGTATTTTGACTGCTATTCAGGAAAAGAAGGTTATTTTTCTGTCTAGATTTGGAAAAGTTCTACTGAAAAAAGAAAAGATGTGAGGAGCAAGGTAATAGCTCAAATATTCAAACATCATAAAAAAAACAAAAATCCCAGCAAACAAATAAACAAACAAAAACCCAACAACCTTAGTTTCCAGGAGTCACATTTTAATTCAAACTGTTCACATGAAAGAAACAAATTCTCTATTTTCTACTTCTATCTGGATATTCTCAAATAGAATCAGAATGTATTATGATGAACAATAATCTCATAAAATCTCTTTCTTCAGCAGAATTAATCTACTATTATTATTAACATTTGTTCCTTAGAATTATTACATTGGAGAGCTTGGCTTTTTCTTGGAAACAGGGTTCAGTAAAGAGACAATAATAATTTAAAAACAAGCTTACAGACTAAAGTTTCCAGTCAATACACAATCATGATCAATCTAGATGGTACTTTTTGCCATGAAAGATCTGAAAGCCAGCTTCCTACAGCAATTCTGTTAAGAGAATGATACATTTTTAACTTTGAATACTGAAGAGTTACTGTGTTTTAGCTTAAATAGCCATTTTACTTTCATGGCATATATCTTTCTTGACTTTCAAATGTCAGAATAAATAGGTTTTTATTTATAGGAATACACTAACCCACAAAATAGGTTTAACATTCATATGAATATACTAATAAACATATGATGTCACATTTTAAAAACATGTCTACCAAAATATTTTCAGGAAATAATGCTATAATTGTCTTAAAATATTATCTAAAGTTTTTTAATTTTATAATAAATGTGTAAATATTAGTTTAGTATTAGTTGTGAGAAAATACTTCATTAGTTTTATTTTTCATATAAGAAACTTCTATAGGATGGTTTTTGACCCAGAAGTATGTACTAACAAAAGAGTAACCTGATGTTTGCACTATAGTTGACTCTAAAGGCTTTAAATTACTGTCACATAGGACAAATAATTATCAGAAAATCAGGAGAACTTAGGGAGACCTTACTCTGATAAAATACCAAAAATGTCACCTGTATTTATGTCTATCTTATGTTTAGTAACATAAGAACAGTAAATTTTTTTATTTATTCATTATTTATTTGAAAAAAAGAGAACACCTGTTTTATAATCACAGTTTTCTTTCCCCTAACATTATAATAAAGTAACTACTTATTAAATTTTAGGATTGATATTTCTATATAAAAGGAAGAGAGGAAAAACAATGAATGAGTTTAATGAACAGTCAAACAAGGAGGCATAACTTCAGGTTGTGACCAGTGATTAAGTGTGTCAAATAATTGAAGAAGTTCAAGGCAATCTCATTCCACTATACTCACGGTCTGTTGTGAAAACATATCAAAGTAAATTAAGAAAGACACAAATAGACTCTTGGTAATTTAATCAATTGGCAGAGGAGAAGCTTTGAGCTTTCTTACTATATTGTATGAATCTATTTTCAGTAATTTCTCAAGACAGAACTGACTTTTACTAATATATGTTAAGGTTATACTAAATATGGCATTCTGTAAAAATAAAAGTATCAGTCATTATTGAAAAATCCCATTAAACACTTAAATATGTTTGAGTCTCAAACTTTTCTCACTAAATACTTAGAGTACCTAAATAACAATTTATAGTAATGATGTAATATAGGATCTAACTTAATAATCACGCACACATACATACACACACCACTGTATTATTAAACTTAAATACGACTACACTAAGCTTTGTGACGTTAAGGGACATGGTTCATAACTGTTTATGCCCAATGTACACCTTTGTTTACATAAGCAAATATAAGGCATGTAATTCCTTGCCAACACTAAGCAGCAAACTTCTGTTGTATATTCTACTTTTACTTGCATTGTGATTCAGTAAAATTAATGATGAAAATTATTCTTTTCTGTAAAACAATTTACCTCATTTTATCTGAATCTGTGTATAAGTCAGGAACTACTTCTGTTTGTCAAACTTATCTCTCAGTTTTGGGTATTGCAGGGGATACATAACAGATGTTTACTAAGTTAAAATCTATAGACAGTAGAATTACTGAGTATAAATTAAATTAAACACACCCATATATAATGTTAATATACAATTTTATGGTTAGACTTCTTGTTACAAGAGATGAAATGAATTGCATTTTATAAAATGCTTACAAATTATATATAACATAATTACTGCAGTGGTCATGTTTGATGTTTACAAGTCACATTAACACATTTTAGTGGTATTAAAAGCCCATTTTATCCATCAAAATCTGTTATTAGTTAATACATGAATAATGATGAATTTGAGTTACTCTATTTGGTCCCAATTTCTGTAAACTTACACAAATTACTTATCACATACTATGGAAAAAAACAAACTTATGCTGTAATAATCAATTGTAAGTCTACCTGATAAAGCTTCTGAACTTATTTTTAAGAAAATACAAAGTGCTGATAAGACATTTAAAAAAGAATATGAGAAACTTACATATACAAATCCTAAAACACTGGCCATTGACTGTTTTTTTTCCTGTCATTTAAATATCCTTTCATTAGTCTAATGAAGGTAATATTTTTGTTATTCAAATATATTCTTTTGTTATCTAATTTTACACAACTTGTTTTTATAATGGATTGCCAGATAATTTCTTTC